TAGAAATGACAAGGAGAGGAGTTGGAGCCAAATTGCTTCCGCAGTTGATAAACCCTGTTAAGTTTTCAGCTGCTCTTCATTAACGTGACATAAATAGGTTATAATGATTTTCATTCAGTCAGGACTTTACGCACCACATGTAGATTCTAATAAAGCATTGATTAATGCCTGATATTAAAATTAGTTAACTGGACTTGTAGCCATTATTTTGGGCTACAAGTCCAAAATAATGGATGTGTGGCTGGACACCACAAAGCACGATCAAACCCAATCCAACCGTTATATCTAGGATTTCTGTCGGCTGTCTCTCAGGTTTTGAAGATGGGCTGACAAACTCGTGTCGTGTGCACTGGACATTAGGAAATAGGAAGGGAAGGTCAGTGGAGAGCACCGGAGTTGAGCCTTTTTTCATTCAGTGTCATCAAGAGAAGGAAAAAAAGGGAAGGGAGAGACGATAAAGCCGATAATTAAAATTAGGTCAATAGGTTTAATTTATGTGCGATTAATTGATTTATCGTTTATCGCGACAGGCCTAGGAACACCTATCAGTCACATCATTTTCTGTCATACAGTCAGACTATGATAGAAACACTCACCACAGTTGAGCTCATCAGCACCGTCAGAACAGTCGTGGTTCCCGTTGCAGTGAGCTTTGGCTGGCAGGCAGGTGTCATTGGAGCACAGGAAACCTTTACACTGGGTTCCCTCTAACGACAACACAATTGAAATTTATTATTCATTATTTCAAGAACAGGACATTGTCCTTTGGGGACAGTTGGGACAACAAACCAAACACTGAACAGAGTGAAGGGTGAGTTCACAGCCACATTTGCAGCCTCAATGACCCTCATCTTTGAAGAGTTATGGACAGGATACTTTGGAGCATGTCTGGTATAGGGGTGCATGATGTGAAATTGCTCAAATATGTTTAATAATTTTCCTGTTATGGGTGGTTTTTGGCGCCCCCTACTGGTTGCCTATAATAAATATGGGGGGAAACCGAGAATTCCACGCAGTCTGTACAGAGCTCTGCTGTGAGTGATAAGTTAACCAGTAGGGTTAACTACTACCCTACTGGTTAACTCAGTGTTTTTCAACCACTGTTCCGCGGCACACTAGTGTGCCGTGAGTGATCGTCAGGTGTGCCG